CTCAGGTGGATGGGGTGGGGTGGGGTGGGTGTGAGGTCGCGGGTCTCGGCGTTACGGAGTGCCCGCTGTTTCGTGGAGGTGGTGGTGTCATCCCCGCCGGAGGGCTCAAGTGATGTGGGAGGCGCGGGGAGCGGCGCCGTGTCGGGACGGCTCCCGGTGCCCGGCGGTACCGCATCTCGTCCTCGCTGTATGGATCGGCCTGGCCCTGTTCCTCGCGTCGGGAGAGGAGAAGGTGGAGTGGGTGATGCTGGGAAGAGCTGGAGGTGGCGAAACACATCAGCGTGGCCATGGGACACGCCAGCAGCCCCCATTAAGCAGGTCTTTGGAGCGAGTCTCTGAGTAATGAGTTATCAGTGTCGTAAAGGATCTTACAGCTCTTGGGGCATGGCAGGGGACATAAAAGGATAGCATAGCTCCCTGTTAAAAACAAGGGAGAAGACTGTATTGAGAAGGGAGATCAGTGGGTACAGGCATTAAGCAGTTAGACCTATCACAGGAGAAAACCTGAGTCACAGTCACTCATAGGGATGCCCCCTGCTCTGATCTTAAGTGTTTCTGTGGAAGCGTGGATAACAGAGTTACGGACCAATGAACTCTGTGACTGACAGATAAACTGGCGTGTGAGCAAGTGTGCTGAAGTACCGATTGTTCTGCTCTTTCCTGTACACAACTTTGCTGGCACGCAGATTGGTGCACACGGGTCAATGGTCAAAAATCCTTTAAAACAGAAATTACTCTTACCAATGTGGGAAGCTGAACTCAGTGTTACTACAGATGACAAAAGTCTCTGCTCAACATTTTGCTGTGGTTCGTGACGGAAACTAGTGTCATGTTCTCACTGAAGTACTGAGAAGATCATGTGTGGGGGAAAGATTACACATGTCTGATTAGAATCACAGAATGGTTTGGGTTGGAAGGGACCTTAAAGATCATCCAGTTCCAACCCCCCTGCCGTGGGCAGGGACACCTCCTACTAGAGCAGGTTGCTCTAAGCCCTGTCCAGTCCAGACTTGAACACAGCCAGGGATGGGGCAGTCACAGCTTCTCTGGGCAACCTGTGCCAGGGCCTCACCTCCCTCACAGTGAATAGTTTTTCTTGAGGAAAGCTAGAAAGATTTACTGAGGAACAGTAAGAAAAAAGTTTTAAATTCTTTGTATCTTCATTTCTAAGGTAAAGGGAGTTGATGACCTGACAAGCAGGTGGTGCTTCATGAAAAGGAAGTGGGAAAATAAAAGAGGATGTGAAAATGCTGGCTAACATAAAATGAGGTTATCTTTTTACATTTCTGTAAATCGTTTTAGCAAAGAAACCAGTAAGATGTTGTAAGAAAACCCCTCTTAAGCACAGGAATAAGATGTAAGGAAATTAACTAATGCAAATTTATGTGTCTTGTTTTGAGGCGGTGGTGAGATACTGCATGAGGTGGATCCCAACTCTCAGCCAGTGTGAGAATTTGTGTGTTTCTAACACCTCACACTAGGCAATCTGTAATCTAGAGGAGAGATTCCCAATCTGTGGTCTATGCATTATTAGTGAGGTCTAAAATTGGGCTGTTTGGACCCTTCCTGAGGATGCTGTAGCTGGAAATGGAAATGATGAATGAGTAAAGGGTGTTGCTGGAGCGGGAAAGGTTGGTGATGAAAAGGAGCACTTTTTTGTCCTTTCCTCTCCTGCATGTGTCAGGTGCTGGTCATCCAGGCAGTGATGACCTGATTCCTGATGGGAATTGCAAGGAGGGAGCACAGCAGTTCATCCCAGGATGTAGCAGCAGTAGGGCCTGAAGAGGTCTGAAAGGTCTCGAGGCAGCAGCATCGAGAGTGGGGAAATGAGGAGATGAAAGCAGAAGTCGAGAAGGAAAAGGCAGTTAGCCATAGGTAGAAGAGTTGAAAATCACTGCCCTGCAGGGATGGTAAAACCCTTTTTGGTTTGCTTCCCTCAGAACAAGAGAGCAAAGCTTCCTTGGCTTTTGGAATACGTTGCGATGTTAAGACAAGGTTTTCCTGTGTCTTGATGAAAGGGCTTTTTTTATGGGAGGCTTTTGGGTGTGTAAGCAGAAGATCACACATCACACATGTTAAAGGGAATCAGTGGAACTCTGCTTAAATAACTGATACTATTTCTTTATTTCGTAGATATCCAGATTGTTGCAAAAGGATGCGGAGCAGGAATCCCAAATGAGAGCTGAAATTCAGAACATGAAGCAAGAACTCTCAACCATTAGTATGATGGATGAGTTTGCTAGATATGCCCGTCTGGAAAGAAGGATTAACAAAATGACTGACAAGCTTAAAACTCACGGTAGAGTTGCAATGTTTATTCTCTCTCCTAATTTCTGAAAAGCATTTTGTCAAGTGTTTTCAATTTTAAGTTATGACTCCAACTTTTTTTTCCTGCCCCTTTTAGCCATTTCCAGTGTTCCCTTCTTTTTTTGGTTCTCTTTAAACTTTTTGGAGAGCTTGCTTTTGTCTTTCACCTGTGCGTAACTCTGCATACACTGGTAAGGGAGTAATCTAGAATCATATCATAGAATCACAGAATAGTTTGGGTTGGAAGGGAACTTAAAAATCACCTCGTTCCAATCCACTGCCACGGGGACCAGGCTTGCTCCAAGCCCCATCCAACCTGGCCTTGAACACTGCCAGGGATGGGGCAGCCACAGCTTCTCTGGGCACCCTGGCAAGTGCTAGTGTCTCATAGCTTCTTCTTAAAGGAATTTCCTGGGCTTCACTGTGCAATTCTTCACTCTTTCTCCATGATACTCATCACTGAATCATGTTTTGAATAAGTCGATGGAGTCCTCTGCTATATATCTTCATACAAAGGGTGTGTTGCTTGGTTGGGGCTATTTGGTTAGTGTACTACAAAATGCTAGAGAGAAAGCATTGATCTATAGGGTAACCAGAGATTTTTCCTATCACTTTGTGACCCTGTTTCATCTTATGCAGCAGCTTTGTGATAAAGCCGTAGTGCTTTGCCTCCACTAAGATTTTATAGTAATATAGTCCACCATCTCGTGGTAAAGAGAACTCATAATCCTTTGGCACCAGAGCTTTTGCTTTTGTCTTTGCCTAAATTCACTAGCTGACCCTAACAGGATGGGAGACTACTTGATTTGTCTGCCTCCTCTGTGCAGAATGGATGGATGTTTATAAGCTCCTTTCTTGGAGAAAGGACAGTATTTATAACCGGCAGTCTGGATTGCTTTCACTAGTATCATTCTTAACCTGATAATTCCAATTAATTAGATTTGAGTAGTTTACTTAGCAACCTGCAATGTCATTTGGGAAAACTTCAGGCCACTTAATTTGAAGGTGTATTGTCTTCACTGCGCTGCTTTATACTGGCATAAAGTACTGCAACAGCAGAATAACACAATAAATTTTAATGCTGAACCTGACCAAAATTGATTCAGTGAAGGAATAGTCTTACCTGGGTTCCTGGATGAAACAAGGCAAAAAGTGCATCTGCTGGAGCCAGCATTCTCCCCTTGACTAAAAGGGAACAATTTACTTTATGCCTCATCTTAAATTAGTAACCACAGTGGGTGTTCTCATTTGGGAATAGTGTTCTTGATTACATGAGACGTTTCTCTGTCTAGGATATTGGTGTTTTGCAACTTTTCCTAGTAACATTAATAAGAAACTACAGCATGATATGGACCAAGCATTTTATTGCAGAAGGATACCTTCAGTGCAGCTGTGAGTCATTTGGAAAGAGATTTTTAAAGTGTGTCATGTCCTAAGAGTGAAATACCAATTACTAGTTGTATGTAAGTATAATTCACTGTTATAAATAATGTGGAGTAATATCTTTTTCTTTTAACAGTGAAAGCACGAACTGCCCAATTAGCCAAAATAAAGTGGGTTATAAATATTGTATTCTACATCTTACAAGTAAGTAAATACTTTATTATGAGCACAGATGACTAAACTGAATCCTCAATAGCATTACAGTTCTCTCCTGCAATTACTGGCTGATACTAGTCACGCAGGTGTTTGACATTCCAGTGCCACAGTGCACGCCAAACTGGAAGAGTTTCTTGAAGTAGAATGGAGAAGATGTTGCTGATAAGGTCTGGAAGTTGTGGATGGAAGGAGGTTTGAGTTTCATTGTAGCTCTGTGTTTCTGGTTTTGAGATGACATGATAGGAGCTTGCCTTAGCTCTTTAATCACTAGGTTTTGGGTTTGGGGTTTTTGGCTTGTTTGTGTTTTGGCTTTTTCATTTCTGTTTGGCACTGGACCCACAAAGTTTCCAAATGTGTTTTACTTCTAGTATTGAAAGCAAAATATGCTTTTCTTGAGGATGCACATCTCCACTTACAGCTGCCACACATTTCACCACTGTGCCTCATCAGATTGTCTTTGTAGTTCAGACTTGATGCCAAAGAATTGTCTGCTGATAAGGATGACAGTGGTCAACCCGAAGATGCCCTTAGGGTAATGTTAAAGTGAGTTGAGTTCCTGGCAGGCAAGGATTATCGCTGAAAACAGTCATCAGAATTTAACAAGTGCTATGTTTGTCTGTGTTAGAACCAAGGTCTTGAAAGAAAGCAGTATTGTCCAGTGGCTCACTGCTAGCTCTTAATATTGTGTGTAACTGTCATATGGAGTTTAAAAATATTTCAAACTTGCTTAAGAACAGCATAAAATTACGAAGGAGCTATTCCCTTTAATTAGAATTTGTCATTTACTGTTTCAAAGCAGAGGTAGAAATGTACTGCAGTGTGTGGTGTTATCCCAGCTAATAACAATTTCAATTCTAGGCTACCCTGATGGTCTCTCTGATTTGGAGGTACTATGCTGAGCCAGTTACAGTGCTTCCGGGCAAATGGCTTGCTCCGCTGGAGCGTTTGGTAGCCTTTCCCACAGGGGTGACAGGTAAGGACTGCACACAGGAAAGACACACGTTTCCCAAGCCCACGTGGATGCTAACAACATGCAGATGAAGAGCATGCACGGAGTGAAAGCATTTCCGTACATATCTTCTGACTCCCTTGAAACAGGGAGGAGTTTTGTAGAACATTTGTAGCTGTTTCTTATGTATTCAATTCTTGTCGATTTAACTGACAATAAAATGGGCTCTGTCATTTTTATTTCTTCTGTCAGAGCAGCTTTATCTGCATCTGTATGGAATTGACCCTGGAGGAGATTTCAAATCAGAAATATTTTTATATTAAGGAGTCCACTGAAATTGAGTAGAGCTGTGTTTAGAAATGGGCACATACTTCATAGGTCTGTATCATTCACGTGTATTTCTTACAATTGCTGGGGTTTCAAGCTAGTGTAACTCCAGAGTGATTTAGGCATGCCCTCTCTTGGCATTTTGCGTTGCCTGTTCCCACCCTTTTTCCCATCACATTTCCATTGCATTTTTACCTACTTAAATCCTTTTCTTTTGTACAGTTTAACAAATTAGTAATCAGAATGATACCACAAGTTTTAGACACCTGTTTCTGAGTGAAAAGTGTGCTGACTCCATTCTAGTGGGATAAGTACATGAGAGAGTGACAGGACAATGTAGTTTGGAAATTTACTGCCAAGCTAAAATGCTGCTGGTGAATCTTCGTATTAGATTTGTAAGCCCTAACTGCCAGAGAAGGAATTCCAAAATGCGTTGTTGGAATTTTATGTTGTGGTATTTTTAATAGCTGCCTAGAGAACAACTTGTATCCAGCATGCTTTCTGCTCAAGGGAAGAGTCTGCTGCAGTGCAGGGTGGGGGCATAGTCCTTGGAAGATGTTTATTTAAACAGCATTTGAAGGGATTTAAAAGTGTTCACACCCATGTCTGCATTCAGATCTCCTTTTTTGTCTTGGCTGATAGTCACACTAAAGAGATCACTTTTGAGTTCTAGGTGATAAACTCAGAATTGTCTAAAAATGCCCCAAAAGCTACTTTTTTCACGTGTGCTATGCGTAGCACACGTATGTGTTCTGTGATACCGTGTAGCTTAATTCCATGTTGTTTGCAGTATGGACGTGCTGTGCATTACAGGCAGGGCACACCCTCTTTTCCACCACACCAATACAAATTCCTGTGCTGCTGGTTGGAATAACAGGACCCTTTCAAACAGAGTAGCAAAAGTCTCTAGTGCTTTCCTACATAGCTGTTTGGGGAGCCAGGGGAAAGGAGTACAGATTTAATACTTGTTAAAAAAAATCTACTTCTTGCCTCTCAAGTCCTGAATTTAGGTTCTAGCAAAGTACTGTATTACTGGACAAGCCTTTAACCTCAGCACCTGCGACTTTGTCTGTTAGCAAATGTTTTTAACTGTGGGTTGTATATACCAGACTGCGGCTCTTATTTGTGGCGTTTGTGGCATTTGGTGCTCTTTTCTGCTGACAATATTATGGGGTTCTCAGGACCAGCATGGAGGTAGCTGCTGTTCCTTGAAGAGAGACATTTATATATGAAAAGAAAGATGTTCTGTCCCTGTTTACCTGATAACTCTTAGGTTTCATTTTTTATGCTTCCAAAGCTATTTTTCAAAAGCCTGTGTGCTTCACTGTTATTACATGACTTAAATCATGTTTTATGTCTCTTTCAGGTGGTGTTGGAATTACGTGTTGGCTTGTGGTTTGTAATAAAGTTGTAGCTATTTTGCTACACCCTTTCAGCTAAAGGAATCCCAGTAATCCAGGAAGTCCTCAACTACATTTTCATTATCACTGTTTTGAATGAGACTAGGTCTGAGATAATCTTTGTTACTTCGTTTGGGTATCAGTCAATATTCCTTTTGATGTATTTTGTCTTCCCTTAGTTTGTTTTTCCATTTGGTGGTCAGTTTTCAAAGGATAGCATTGCTGTTTATAAAACTTCATTTTGTGTCTGCTTTGACAGGTGTGAACACTGATTTATGGCAGATACTCACCAAAACCTGAAAGTGTTGGACTTGTATATTTAAAGTTGGAAATGCACTGGCACTAGAAGTTAATTTGGGAGCTTTGCTGCTGCTTTGCTGTATGATATGGGAGTTTCACCCAGAGGTGGGACTGTATTTGGTGGCAAAGTGGTAAAAGAGGATATAGAGGAAGGTGGTTTGGTTGGCTTAGGGGTAAAACAGAGTTAATTTCCTCCTTGTTATTTTTTACACTAGAATTGGTGCATTCTTGGGCCGCCTTGGAAAATATGTTATTGATATATGTGCAGAATCAACTTTTTATCTCTTGTGAGACTCACTCAGTTGCCCAGTACAGGATGGCTGGATACTTTTTCCTCCCTGACTTTTAAAGTTCATTGAACACTCTTATTTTTTCCTACTTTTATTGATAACTGACCTGACCTTTCCTTCCTTGTCATTTTTTTTCTGCTTCCCAAACTGAGTATCACTGAAATTATTTTCCTTCCATGTTTGGAGGGGAAAGGTCTGGCCAACCTACTGAAGCTCCGTGTTAGTGAAGAGAAAGTAGAAAAGTGTGCTGTTCCTTCAGAGGGCTGTGTTTCTAAAGGCTTTAGCATACATTAATGACAGTCCAGGATAGCCCGAAACAGCTATGTACATGCAAAAAGGCAAATTGGTGATTTAAATATGTCGAGCAGTAACAGAGCGGTAGCAGGCTGGAGGAGGAGGGAAAACAACTTTCTGTTTTAGAGTAAATCTTTGTTGTGGTATTTAGGTACAGGAAACGGCCTCAGAATTTTGAATTTAAAGGAGGACAGAGTTATTCCAGTAACGTGCCTGTAGAACAGTGGCAAAGTTGTGTTATCTTTGGTGCTGCGGTGATCCGCGACCCTGTCACTGCTGCCCCGCAAGACAAAGGGGTGGGTTGATAAAGCTCTTGTTCTGCACCTCCTTTGGTTTTTGACATGAGCCTCAACAAAGCCCTTAGGGACACCTTTCCCTCCTCCCCTGGGCTTTGCTGATTCTGGGTCAGCTTCCCGCTCTGCACAGTGGAATGCATCTGTTCTGTTATTCCAGGCCCTTTCCCTAGGGCCCCTCCATCATTAGCACTGCATTGAGAAACCAGTTCAAAAGGTCATGGTACATTCTGTGTATATATGCATGAAATGTTTGTGGGGTTTTGGCTTTGGTTTGGTTTGGTTTTTAAGTAGTAATTTAAAAAAAGAAAAGGTTTTATGTTAGGGTTACATTTAGCCAATGTGAAAATAGATGCATTAAATAGCAAGAAAAAAAATGTTGTGATTGAATGTTATGTATAATTGTGTTTTTATTAACAAAATAAAGCTTTTTGATCTGTCACAGGTTTTCCAATCCATTTTTCAGTCTTAACTACAGTTTTCGTAAAAAGAAAAAATCCCCATACCCAAGCCAGCAACACCCCCCATACACACACACGTTCTTGGACAAGGAGATAACTTGGAATCAATAGGACTAGTTTATTTTTTTATTATTTTTCTTAAAGTATTTGGGACAGATTATTTAAGTATGACATTGACCTACTTCTGAGTTTAAAGGTGTGGCTAATGATTTTTCCACTTGGCTTCTTACGGAGTTTAGCACAGTGAAATCAAGGAAAGCAGCACCACTGGAAACCTTCACGGTGGCACTCGGTGTTTATCCATGCACAGCACAGGGTCACCCAATGTGCTGTTTGTTGGCGGCTCCAGTGAAGCACTTGGGTGAGTGAGGGCACAAAGGCCTTCGGTCACCTGACCGGCACAGAGGAGCATTGGGTTATATTCACTTGTCTGCTCTTGGCTTTGGGACAGCAGTGAAGGCACTACCTCTGGTAATAGTTCGTAGAGGAGAAACAAGCTCCTTTTCTGACGCCTGAAGTTGTGCTTTGAAACGTGCCCCCTGTACAGCTGCAGCACTGCTTCAAGAAGAACTTGCAAAAGTTTGGAAAATACACTGCAAGCAAGTTCAGATCTGACTGTCTCCATCACCTGGACAGCTTTTGCAGTATCATTTTGAAGAGTTTTTTCAAGTGCCTTTTAAAGTTAATAGAATACACATTATTTTCCATAACTTCATATGATTTTAACAAGTGCTTCAGGCGTTACTGTGAGGAACAAAACATAATCCTCCTACCCTTGCTTACATAACCTTAAACACAGGATTTTTAAAGGCTTTGGAGAAGTGGATACGCCTGACTTCTCCGAAACAATAGTTTACTCTTGCACATTCATCTTTGGATGTCAGCTGTGGAAGTTACCAGGCAAACTGTTTTGGTAAGTTCCAACAGTGGAAAAGAAGGAAGCTTTAGAGCTTTATAATAGTAGTGAAAACACAGCAATAGCAAATTATTTTTATTGTGTGTGAATTCTGGAAGCTATTTCAGGAGTGAAGAAAATAACTAACTTTCTTTTATAGCATTGTTGGTACTAGCCCAACGATGAACCTTACAAAAGCAGATTGCTCACTTTGCCTGGCTAATGAATAATCGGCTTCAAAATTGAAAATGCAGAGACAATGAAACAACTGAAAGTTGCAAAACAAGGACTGACTTGGACACCTGGTAAGAGGTAAAAATGTCTCTCTTTGTAAGGCGAATATGCATGTGTGTGTATGCACATGGACCAGGAATAGCCCAACTTTATTCCTCCCATGTTAGAACTGGAAGGGTCGTATCTTCAAAAACAGCCTGGTCCAAAGAGTTGGTTTGTTAAAGATGGCTTCTTTTCAGCAAATGTCATACGAGTGCGGCCTCCTGCTTCAGTGGAACTGTCCTTCTGCCTTCTTTGGGTGACGAGACCAGGAGATGGTTCGTACAGCCCAAAGGAGTTTTTCACTTTTGATTCAGCTGCTCCACTGCGGTCCTGCCTGTGCTTGCCAAGACTGCTGTGTTTTGATTTTGTACCTGATGTAAAAAGCCCACGATGCAAATTCTCTGTGGCTTCTGAGAATACGTATTTCCTCAGCCTAATGGTTTTGTTTCTTAGACCTGGAGTTACACCTTTACTCCCTGGCTGCTCAGTGTTATTTAGCTCTTCATCTGGCTTTTTTTCTTCTTTCTCATGTTCTTCCGCTGCATCTTCCTCTTGATCGTTCTCCTTTATACTGTCACTTAGAGGAGTTTGTTCAGTTTCCGTCAGTTCTTTCAGCTCCTGTTTAAACAAATCTGCCCCTTTTTCTTCTTTCATAAATTCCAGACAAATGTGTTCTTCTATCAGTTGTCTGCCCTCCCCTAAATAGTCTAAAATGAAATATTGAGTGGTTTAGGAATGTTCTTAAATTGCCTAGGAACATAAAGAGTCATGAAGCATTAATGGGAGAAAGTTTCACTTCCTTATTTCATTGCTTAAGTTGTTAATGGTATTTCAGTCTTGAGGACTATGACAATTCTGTTTACTAATAAATATAACAGGATGGGGCAAGATTTAAACAAGATTATTGTGCCATTAAATCCAGGTAAATATATTTCTGTTTTTCATTATGTTTAATTTTATTAAATGAATTGCCATGCAAATATAATCAGTAATGGCTAAATATAGGGCCGGAAAAGTCATGTACAATGCAAGAGAGAAACCACATGAGATCTGAACTCCTTACTTGTAATTTTATCACTTTTAAATGGAACTTAAATATGTTTATGGTTTTCTTTCCCTTAACTGTCAACACAGTTGCTTGTTGCATGGAGCAGAATATATGGCAACTCTCTCATCTATAAATGAGTTGGCTCCACTTCCTAGTAGGAAAAGGTGTGTGTGTGTATTGAATGCCTACAGCAAATACATTTGTCTGCTGTAGGGGACAAATGCTAATAGGTTCTGTGCTTTGGAGAGACTCGAAGAGTATCGCTAAACTGAGGTGAGTCCAGGCTTAAGGGAGAAGTATAAAGTTGCAATAACTAAAATGGCTAAATAAGTAAACCTAATACTGGCAGCGAGTGAAAACTGGAAGAGTCCAGCAAAGAGTGAGGAGACACGTTCACATGCAAGATCGCAGGACCAGTGTTTTCCGTCATGTTTAAAAGGGGTTTTCAAAGACAAAGGTGACTGGGGTTATCTGGGGGGGGTCTGGGAAGGCTGCAGGCTGAAAAGGCAGAGTACAAACCACAGGGGTTAACGCATTCCAGATTACCAGCTCTGTTACTGATCTAGTAAGTGACCTCAACAACCTGTTTCACCTTTGTAACTGCGTGACCTTTAGGTCATGTAATGTCTCCTACCATTAGTGCATAATGGTGTTCAGATCTCTGTTCTTTCTACAAGCCTTACTGTAATGAAAGTAACATGAATATTTTTAGAAGGAAACACTCAGATAAGGGAATAGATGCACTGGCTCCTTCTTTCTTCTCTTCTACAGAGTTTCTTCAGAGTAACGGTGTTTGTAGATGAGTCCCTTGCACGTAAGTTTTATATGAGAACACAGTCAGCAGCTAAGATTTACATAAAATCTATTTATGCACTGCAATGAGGAGATACTTCCAGCCCTGGAAGAAGTCCTTTTTGTTTCTCAGCAATAGATCCTGAGCCAGAAATACATGTTGACATCAGCTATGATGAAGATTCACAACCAAAAATTCGATTTCAGTATTTGATCAGTGTGGTATTAACAAACTAATAACTAAAGTATACTTTTACCAATAAAGCACTGACTTCTTACCTCTGTGACCAGCACCTGCATTTAGAAGGGACGTTAAAGATCATCTAGTTCCAATCCCCTGCCATGGGCAGGGACTCCTTCCACTAGACCAGGTTGCTCCAAGCCCCATCCAGCCTGGCCTTGAACACTGCCAGGGATGGGGCAGCCAAAACTTCTATGGGCAACCGGAGTAGTACAGGAGTATGAAGATGCCTTATACCATGGAGCTGCTCTGCTGTCAGGGCAGCACCACCAGCACCTGGATTTCAGTGGCCTGTAATATGTTATTCTGTTGAACTAGTTCCTGTCAGTCAGGTACCAGCTAATGGCTGTTAGACCCAAGTAACCTACCAATACCATTGATTCATTTATCTGTTGAAAAGATCAAATGAGTTTCTGAGAAAAATGATAAAATATACCTCTAGGTGTCCTATTAAAAGTTTCTGGCTCTGGTATTTTCTTGGTTGATTGTTTTTCTGTTCTACATTGGGCATCTGTGTATACTTCATTTGCTTCAGCATTTTGACTTTTATCTTCTGAAGATGTTTTCTCCTACAATTGTCAATTAAAGGTAAAAATAATAAAGGAATACTTGTTTAGTGACTTTTAAAAGTACACAGTCATGCAATACTTATAAAAAATGGTTATTTCTATTCCTATTAATTCTTATTTTGTATCACTATGTTTGTCCTAAATGTTTTCTCTAATATAATTACATTTACATAAAACCCACATGCTAGAAAGTTAAGAAGATGGATGAGACTATTCAGGCATATTACTGAAATGTACAGAGTAACAAACAGCTTAGCTGAGAGTTTAAACAAGGGATTGGATCCAGAATATTCATACCTTTGTTAGCTGAACTGGACTGGTTTCTGTTTCCTGAACTTTGTACTCTGATAGCAGCAGTGGTCTAAAACTCTGTTTATCTACTTGTACTGATCTGTGTATACTGAAACCTATTGAAAAGGATGATCATTAGTAATACAGTAGTTTCTGGAATTATATTGTTGATATAAACAAAAGGTCTCTTTGATGACTGATAATACTGGTACGTGGGCTAGGATTTAAACATTTTTGTGCTGCATGTCTTAATGCCCTTTAAGAAAGCAATTCTTTGTTCTGCCTGATCTATAAATGCTCAAACTGGAACACATACCTGGACTTTTGAGGGTTTTTATCCATCCATCATAAATATACTTAAGTTTTAGATCTACAAAGTCCTGTTACGATAGAACATGCTACATCAGACAAATGCATCTGTATCCTAGAGCCCGTATGGGCTTCATTTGCCTGGTAACATTCCAATGAAAATTTAAGAGGTCTGCTATGAGGCCTCACCTTTCAGGTTCCTAAATTTGGATCTTGAAGAGTATAATAAACATGCTTGCTTTGATGCCTTCCAATTTGGTTACTCACCTTTCTCAAAGTTACGGAACCAAATTCTTTGGAGGAAATGCTCAACTCCGAAATATCTATGCTCTTTGAAAAGGCATTCAAAGGGAGTGACTGAGACGTTTAAAAAAGTAGCTGAATGGGGATGGGATGGGGAAGGTATGATGTTCTTTTGTTCTATTTTTAGAATAATTTTGACATAAGTACGGTAGCTGAGAAAGTTGCTATCACAGCAGCAAAAAATGTGATCTTGCCTACAACAACGTTTGACCTTATTCCAATTTTGATCTCTGAAATCAGAGAAAGACACTCCATAAAAATGATGGTTTTCAAACACTTACAGTTCGGTGGTAAAACGGGTGCTGAGGATTACTCTTGAAGGTATGGCTCTGATGATGTGGAGGACATTAGTTTTCCCTTTCGAAAGGCAACCAGCAAGCAGTTACCAGCTTCTTCAACATTAATCAGTGGAGCGTTCCTCAGATTCAGAACTAGGGGGAGCTGTACCTCTAGATCAGCTGGTGCGACCTTCCCACAACTGAGCAAACTGCTCTCATCAAGAGCTCATGAAATGAACGGCTTCATTCGATAAATCAATTTTATGTATGTGCACAGAGCTTTCTGATAACCCAAGCCAGCCTAGCTTCAGCTATTCATCAGGAGTGTTAAAAAATGCAACCCCACATTCCTCCTTTCCCTCTGGGTAAAAATTTTTGCAAACACAATAAAAATAATTACTTGAATAATTACTATAAAAATAATTACTTATTACTTTATATAATTACTTTTTATCACTTGAAGTAATAAAAGTTATTATTGGAATAATCAGTACTTGAAGAAGTAGCTCTTCCTAAATCTGCTATAGGAAAAATCAAGTCCATAGTGAAAAGGAAAAAAATTGTCAGTAATTCCAGTTCTATATTTCTAAATCATCTGTTTCCATTAACTGTCAGAGAATGAAACCTTTATCGGCCAGAAATATCAAAGATCACACAACTTTGCTTGAAACCTTTTCATTGCAAAATACCTGCTCTCTCTCCAACTAAGCTCCCTTATCTTGTTTAAAGAAAAGGAGAACTTAAATCATAAACAGTGAGTTAAGTACTGTAATTTAAATGACAATATCACACAAGTCCTTAGGTTACTAAAACTACAGAAAATCACAGCTGATTGTGTGGTGTAACTAAACCTGGAATTCAGAGCTTCATAAAAAATGTGTCTTACTTGGAATGAGAAGCAGGAATTTGTGTTTCTTAGTTTTACAACTTGAATTACCAGCCTTCTCCCTGCAATTCACTTGTAGTTAAGGCAGAGTGATGGATTTGCAAAGGCAAAGAAGACGAAAGAAATAAGCAACTATGATAAGATTTTGCACCGATACCATAATTTGAAGAATTCTGTGGGCAAGATTTCCAGCAGGTATGTTTGCTACCATGTAAATTTTAAGAGCTTCTCTGTACCCACATGAAGAAAGCTCCAATTCCTCCTTCCGATGAGGAGCAGGAATATCTGACCAGTATTTTAAAAAGGGCTTAACTCAGGGAAGTCAATGTTCAGATCATGATCCAAAATTAAAGGTGTAAGTTCGTTGAGCAGAAAGTTCTCCTTCAGGGTATTGACAGAATGTTTATGATCCTGAGTAGGAGACCAAATATTTCTTTCAATGTGGGAGAAGTACTTGAAATCTGTGTATTAGTTTCTGTATAAAATGCATTTATTAATAAATTCTAGATAAAACATCTAAAGAATATGACAATTAGAATTTTTTAAGTGCTTAATCAGTGTCTCCTTCAACGTTTTTATCCCTGATGACCATAGTGAGCACACAGGCAACTGAGTTCTTGGCTTCTATGACATGTAGCTGGTTTTAGCTGTTGCGCTCTCGGCTCAAGGGATGGGATCCGCTTGTCTGAACACAGGCACCTCATGCTATTTGAGATGCCCTCAAGTATTCAAGATATCCACATAAGGTTGGCTGATACTACATAGGACCGATGGGATGTCTGTGTCCTTCTGCAGCAACAACTATAGGGCCAGGCAGAATGTGCTAGAACATCTCAAATGGCACTGGATGTCTATAATTAAGTAAGTGAATCCCACACAAGGGGGATTCCCACTCTTGGAATGTTTGATAGATAAGACTGCATATGATAGATATTTCTCTCCAGTAACTGAGCACCCATGTGAAAGAAACACTCTCTACTAAAGAGCTCTTTCTTCCTTGATAGAACTAGCTTTCTATTGTTCTTTTCTGTCATTCTACTGTATTATTTAAAGAACATCAATTCTGTAGAAAGAATTGAGAGGATATACAATAACTGGGTTGTTGCCCATTTAAATTTACTTACACTAAAAACCCAAAGGGCTACTAAGGATAAACATTCTCTTCTCTCAGATAAGCTGACTGTGCAATCACCACAGAGGCTATTAAACCTCCTAAACCTTGTATCTGAAAATTCCTCCTCTCCTTACACTCCAACAAATTGCAGGTTGCTGGAGCTTCAGTAATTGACATTGAAGCATCTGTGCTAGAAATAACAGGATCTAAGGATTTTAAAGATGAGAAAACAGTTTTTAAAGACCCCATTAAATTCATTAATTTTGATCATATAAAAGCACTTTGAAAGTCTGTACTAAAAGCAGGAACTTGCTACAGCAGGGTTGTTCATGAGGTGCTTTCAGTTAGTGGACCAGGTGGCAGGAATTCTAGGTCCAGGGTAGCCACTTCTCCAGGCCAAGTCAAAGCCTGAACAAAACTTAGTCTGCAAAAGCTTTGGGGACTGATAGCTTCACCTTGTTAAAAAACAAATAGGCAAACAGCTCTTGATGCAAATATGCACTTAAAATAGCAGCACTTCGTCAGTGTCACTGTTAGTATAATAAAATTATGTATGCTAAACACTATGCATGATGAAAATAGGGTTAAATATTAAAAACAAGTCGTGTGCGTGTTCACAGAATAAATGAGCAAAAAAACAAAGCACTTCTCTTCAATTTACATGTAACAGAATATTTTTAGCTCATATAAAAGTACTATATTAGTTTTCATTTTGGAACATATGTCCAAGTTATAAAGCAAAGCAAGTTTCACGCAACTAAACAAAAAAAGGAAAATGAATGTACACATACTTTTCCCATGAGGTACTGAATCTCTTTTGCCTTTTGGGATTTTAGGCATCGGATTTGCATAGATATTTTTTACATAAAGTTGCCGATCTTTTTCCTAGGAAGAAATAAACACTAGTAAACTTCTAATATGCATTAAGAATTACTTGTTACCAACTTTATTTTCCCATGTTGGGAGAAAACTGTCAGTGTTTTTGCATTGTGCCAGGCCATGTGGTGACTGTCATTTACATAAATAGGAATCTGTCATTTTATTTCATGAGCCAAATCAAAATTCTCCCTTTTTAAAGCTAAGAACACATCTGTACACCTACGTGCTCTTTTTTATAACACCATGTTCAGCAGATGAAGTCTTCTATAATGATTTCGTCATTTGTTGTTCTGAGTTATTTTCTTCAGACTAAGCAATTTTTGCCTTTACTTCCTTTTCTTAATAAAAATTACTTACTCAGCACCCTTAGTTAGAACGTGCTCAGTTCTGTTTTGCAACATATTGCTTGGGAAATGACATAAACTTCAGAGGCACACTTTTAACATTTATTTAGCAAGAGTCTTCTTGCCTTACTGAAATCTATCTGAAACACAGAAGAGATATTTCAGTAACTCTTTCACTGTATTGGGTTTTAGCATGAAAAATAGGATCTGCATTTACTTTGGAGACACAAGTTGTCCTGAAAGTGTGTCTGAATACCCTGAATGCTCTGAAGGAGCCAGGTGCCCAAAACTATGAATGTGTAAGACTAAACTCTGTTCTGGCACAGAAATAAGGTTAAAAAGTATGTCTGGTCTTGTTTGCAGTAAAACAATAGAAGGTTTTCTGAATCTAAATACAACATTGGGAGAACTGGACACACATAGAAAACTGTGTGGAGAACACATGAAACAGAAATATTTTAGGGGAGCATTAGGGTGAGAACTGTACTTCCAAATAATTTGCATTTTTGAACCGTTTTATGTTAGTGTTCTTGGGACTGTAACTATTCCTGTGTCCTGGATCTGCACATACAGGAGGAGATCAGGCTCTGCCAGGGAAATAGCACTGCAGGTCCAGGAAAAGCACTGTATTTTTTGCCTTCCCAATAGCTCACCGGGCTTCTGCTGCTCGGCAGCCTGGCTGCTGCCAAGTAACAGGAGGAAAGTTTCTGCACTTGATACGAACATCGCCCTTGTACAGAAACACAACGCTCCATGAATCTTCAGGAGTCGCCAGTTCTGCCCTTCACAATGTCTGGGAAAGCTCCCCATAACAACATCTTTCACATTTATTATGATCCCATTTAGAAGGAGGAAGCTCCCTAGCAGAATCAATAGGTGGATCAGTCACTTTACACAGAAGTTAAAAGGTGTATTTTAGCTATGTTGCAAACACAGTTTGAATTATTAAAAAGCCAGAAAGGTTTTCGTGTTTCCTGGAATATGTACTGTTTTTTCTTGTTTACAACTCATGACATACCATTCACAGCAGTTCTGTTTCTACTTCTATTTAGTATCACTTTCAGGTTTTTCTGTATGTTTGGTTTACAGACATTACAGGAAGTTGAACTGGACATATTTGTCCCATAAATATTTGTCTAAAAAACAAGTTGGAATTTAAGCAAAGTATTGAAACATTTATGTATGGCTTTTTGTTAGACTATAGTTTTTCAGATTGTAGTATTTGGATCATTTTGATTTGAAAGTGTTTCTGTAAGGGAGCTCACTTAAAGTTAGTAGGTGAATATATTGACCTAGATATATCAAAATGGCAGCAAGCTGGTATGGCTTATTTGTTCAAACTGTAACGCATTAATCTCTGTTTTGAACATTTATTGATCTACTTTGAACTTGTGACAAATAGACCTTACAATAATTTCATCATTTGATATTTGACTTTTTTTTCATGAAGTATAGACTCAATTAGGAAACAAAAATTCCATTACTAAATAATATAAAAGAGGTAAAAGGAATAGGTAACATTTAATACTTGAATTTTCTTGTAGGAGCAGAAACCTGTTTAAAATCTTGAATACCTTAATTTTCTGGTGAAGAGAGTTAATTTCCATTTGCAAGGTCTTTGTAATTATCCCAGCTTCCAGAGCTTTTCTGTTCTCATTTGCCAGCTGACGACTAAAGCTGCTATTGTTCAACTTCAGCTGCTTTTCCAGGCTCTTAAAAAAATAACATATTTTATTATAAGGATGTACTCAGTGTGACTGTTGAAAAATTTCAGTTCTTACCAGATTTGAAAAATAAGTGTGATCATATAATGAAAAGTAAGCTTCTAATAATTATGGTCTACTGTAAACAATGCGTGAAATTATGAAGTATCTGAAGAATTACTTTTAAAATGAGCAAAACCTGGTATAAAATCAAATTTTAATGAACAACAAAAAAGCATATTTATCATTCAAATATAAAAAATAAAGCTGTACATTACCTTTCTGGTGGTTTAATGAATACATTCATCACTGAGAAATGTAAAGACAACATGTCTGTTCACAATGAGATCTATTAACTGCAGTACCATAAGGAGGCTTAGTGTAAATGAAAACTAGGTAATTTATGAAGTACTTTATTGAGTACTTCATCATTAGAAGCCAGTGCCTTGCACTGAAATTACAGTTTCTAAAATTGTAATATGGACACCAACCCTGCATGCTTTTTATTAGCTTCTCACTAGGATTTCTGTGAACAGAAAGTTTCCAAAAATCCATTTGAATTCAGCTGTTTATATTTTCATTTTCTTTCATGTAATAAATGTATTTCAGCCCTAGCTGTTCAGATGGTGAAATGCCTCTAAGATTACCTGGCTTTTTATTAATTCTATATATAATATATTTCAAGGAATATAGAAATTAATGAAATAGAAATTTCACTCTTCCAGTTTTGTATTAAAAACTTCATTCTTTCCTTTTTTGTGAAAGGTTCAGTCAGAGAAAAGAAGCACAAGATATTAAAAGGAGCTGAATTACCTCCTTTTAAAATTCCACCAGGCTTTTACTACAGTTGCATATGAAACCGACAGTAGAACCAACCCTAAAACCTAGGTCACCTGACTAATGCCCAATTCAGCAGCTGCCCTATCAACAGCTCCAGTGAGTGACAGTAATTAGCGAATAGGAAGTGTAGGTACGTCCATACTGCTCACCAGCACCACGTAAAGTAACAGGGCAGCCTGGTGGTCTCCATGTATGACTGACTAACCCTGTGCTTTGCCAAGGTAAATTAGGGTCTGTCCTATTGTGGCTCAGAGGCCCAAGCAAGCATGGGTACCCCACACTGCTGGCAGGGAGCAGAGTAGACACTGCTGAAGATTACCCTCCAGCTGTAAGCGATGCTTCTCACTTAACAGGGTTAAGGCATGTAACTTAAAATCACTCCTAAAATATCTTTATTGACAAACTTAACCTATTTATACATCTCTGATAGATTTTAAAATACTGGAAGGGGGCACTACTGCCATTTTTAGTATATTAAGGACTGCACTGGATTAAAAGGAATGTTCAGTGTTACAGGGCTGTATCAGAATCATTAATATGACAAGAAGCAGCTTGAAACTCCACTGTTCTTGCACAAAAACCTTTCCTATTATTGTTCCACAAATACAATGCAACGTGATATTACCTGTATTCTCTTATCATTCACTTCGATTTTTTCTGTAAGGACTGACAATCTGTGATCAAGTTCCTCTCTCTCTGTGAGAGTTTTGTCTTCCGAAAGCATACGCAAGGTCTGCAAAGCACCTTTAGCTTTTAGCAGCTCTGCTTCAACTTCTCTGAGCTTCCTGGATGAATTTCTCTCGTCCTCCTGAGACATCCTCAGGCTTTTCCTTAAAGTTCTCACCTCATTATAGTGACTTGCTAAAAGATCCTGCAAGTTACTTTCTAAATTTTCATATCTATCTATTGCTTTCAAGTGTCGATACTGAATCTCTTTCAAAATGTGGTTTTCTAAGCTTGATGCCTCTAATTTGCATTGTAAGTCAACTATTTCATTCTTCAGCTCTTTAATTTTGTGAACTTTTGCTGATGATATTCGCTGAGCCACTGTATTTTTTTTCTGGGAAATCATACTACTCTGCAGGCTTAAAGATGAAGAATTTTGATGTGGTATCTTCTCAGCTGGCAATTTTGTTCCTCCTGCATTCAGACGAAAGTAAACTGGCGTTGATATACAGCAACCACTTCAGACAGCAAAATCACTGTATGTCTTTACTGCTCATATAAGTGCATATATTGCTCACCCAAGCTACTTAACTGTCTATTTGACAAAATGCCCAAGATGTATACCAAGACTCCAATGTTCAAGTATTTCACAGATAAATGCATTAAAGATTTTATATCTGCATGTGCATTTATTTTGCTGCACTAGATCCATAGGAGGTCAAGGTTCCTTCCTTTCATTCTTTGAAACCATTTTCATTCCAGACATCATGGTCACTTTCCATTAATAAGGGTAACCATACAGGCAATGTCTTCTAAGGTAAACAGCACTAAAAATCTGGGAATAATTTAGTAAAGTATGTTTATGTTAACACATTACTGCAGTATCAATGGAAATAAGATTTCTCTCTGTAAATCATGCAGCTCACTGCAGGCATGAGCTGGGGACTGACGACCAAATTCAAAGAATCTAGAAAGATTCTGAAGAGGGGGGACATAGGGATGTGTCATGGTTTAAACCCAGCCGGTAACTAGGAAATAAAATAACTGTTACAGCTGAAACCAGGACAGATGTGGCAGAAACCCCCTCAACATAGTAATCTTCAGGTCTTCAAGAACTCAAAAACCAAGGTGATCATAATAGCCCATGGTTGAATTTCTCTGCAGCTGGATTTTTAAACAGCTTTCTGGAATTTTCAAGTCAGCTTTGAACTACATTTTTAAACCATAGATGCTTATTAGTATAGAACAGCTATGCAGTTGTGTACACTGTTTCGATAGACCAATTGATAAAGATCTTTATGGGCTAACATTCTAAGTGTACTACTGCCATTTGCCTTTCTTTATGGCCAGCATGCTGAATGGATTACTCTCATTTCCCTTTCCTGAAATATAATTAGAATTTGAAAATAGTCAAGACCGTAAATCTGAGCGTGTTCCCCCTTTTCAGACATATATTCAATTTCACTATAGCTCTCAAGACTTTTCAGGCAGCATTTTGCTGAAGGTTTATTATACTAATTTATAGATCACATAACATTTTATGGATAAAATAGGCAAGGTACTAACCTAAAAACCACCAGAGGAAAAGGACAGATCTTTTCAAGCACTTCTGTTGAGTCTAATGGGTGCTTTGCACACAAACTCTTACAGGAGCAGGCCCCAACCAGAACATCCTGCTGCACATGGGAAGCAACATCAAATCAGGGGCAGGAAAAGTAAAGTAGGATGCTGCTTAGGGCACCACCACACCGTGGCCTTGCTGCTCCCGTGATGTATGCCAGAACAGTGGAAAGCTATGGCAAGTGTTATCTGGAAAGACAGTGGCTTCAGCAGGGGAATGGTCTATTCCCTGCAGCAGTACTACCTACTGCTCTCTCCCTCCTTCCCTGACGGCAGCAGCCACCCCAGCTCTCCACAGCTTCAGTCCAGCTCTGCTCCTCCCTTTCCCACAGCAGGGCCCGGAGTCAGGCCCGTGTGTGATGTGAGAGGCAGCAAGTCAGAGGAAAGAATGAAGTGGGTGAGTTATACAGTGCTATGAGTCCTTTGCTATTATTCCTGAAATACCTCATACACTCCACTGTTCCAGGATACAAATCAGATGGTCTTTGTTCTGATGGTCCTGCTGGTGGAGGAGAGAAAGCAGAGGCAAGCTGGTAGAACCTTGAACCTTGCTCATACAGAGCCACGTGTTGATAACAGACTACCAAATTCAGTGTGATTGATAGCAAAACGATAGGATAGAAAGAATCAGATTAGGAATCAAAAGTAGGAAAGATTATGATTTGGTCAGGGCATTAATTTTTTTTGCACATTCCAAATGGATTAAGAAGGACTATTGTCCTACTGGACAATCCCAGGCACAGCTCCATTCCTGGCAGTGTTTAAGGCCAGACTGGACAGAACCTTGAGTGACATGGTGTCGTGGTTCAAGCCCAGCCGGCAACTTGGAACCACGCAGCCGCTCACTCACTCCCCCCCTCTTCCCTCCTCCCCCC